GGCGATAGGAGAGCGCACCCCACCGTCTAGTCACCCATTCTGTTAGTACGGGGCGAATCGCCGCAATGGTGCGGCGACCCGCTCCCGGCTGGCTCAGCTGGTCGAGCCAGCAACGTTCGACCGCGTCTCTTGCGTTCCGTCGCCACTCCCTGACCTCCACTCCACTTGGAACCTCCCCCCGGCCTTTGGCGTCGGCGGACTTCCAGTAGATGTCCGCCAACGCCAACGCCTCCAACTCCCATGGGGGAGTCCCAGCCAGGACGCACGCCGCCTCGCAAGAAACGGTGCGGTATGCCCGTGCCACTCGGAGCGCCACTACCCTCTGCGACCTGCGCAGTTGGGCTTTGTTGTGGCGCTCGAGGGCATCTGCCCAGATAGGGGCCCCGTACAGGGCCATCGATCTAACAATCCCGGCGTAGAGACGCCGACAGCTCGCGCTCGGTCCGCCCAGATTAGGCAAAAGCCTGCTCAGGGCGAACGAAGTGCGCGCGAGCTTCGGAGCCAACCGCCGGAAATGTTCTCTGAATTTCCACCGGCTGTCGAGCACAACTCCCAGGTATTTCATTGTGGACCCGACGCCGATGGAAACTCCGCTCACAATCAAGTGGGCGTTTGGCGGTGGCGCTCGGCGAGGCCTGTGAAAACACAGAGCCTCGGATTTTTCCAAGGCCACCGTCAGGCCCAGTCTCCGGATCCTGCCCACTATTTGGGCTACTCCGGCGGTAGCTACCACACTCGCTTCCCGATAGCTACCGCCCCTTGCCAACACCAGTGTGTCGTCCGCATAGCAGACGACACTAACGCCGCCGAGAGTCGGGCCACGCAGGGCCCAGTCGTAACCGACGTTCCACAATAGTGGCCCTAAAACGGAACCTTGTGGAACGCCGCACGACACTCTCCTCTGTCCAAGTCCGGTAGTTGTGGGATATACCACTGTCCTGTCCGATAGGTAGGCCTTGATCGTCTCACGCAAGTATAATGGGACCCCATGAAACCGCAGGGCCTCCATTATACAGGCGTGAGGCAGCGTGTTAAAGGCGTTGGCGATATCTAAAGATACCGCCAACACGACGCCGCCTTTCAAGACCTCCTCTTCGGCGACGGCCCTCACCCGTGCAATAGCATCGATGGTGGAGCGGCCGCGCCGGAAACCGTATTGGCAGTCCGCCAGATTTGGCCCTACTCGATCGAGGTGCTCAGAGAGACGGGTCGCAATAACGCGCTCAAAAAGCTTACCCGCCTCCCCGAGCAGGACGATCGGGCGGTACGCCGAGGGCGAATCTGCCGGCCTTCCCGCCTTCCCAATCAATACGAGTTTCCCCGTCTTCCAGTCTCCTGGGAAGGTATGTTCCTTGAGGCACCGAGAGAGTAAATCTCGGAACCTGCCGTCAAATCCGTTCCGTAGCGCCAGGACCCATATGCGTCCGGGGATCCCGTCAGGGCCTGGGGCGGTGTTTTTGGCCTGAAGCCGTGCCACAGCCGCCCACAGTTCCCTCTCCTCCACTTCCGGGACTTCCCCATCCGCATCACGATTTGACGTCGCTGGCGCTACAACCATTCTTGGTGCCTCGAAGTTCTCCCTCATCGAGGGGAACAGGGTCTCCAGCACTCCATCCAGCGTCTCAGGTTCCATGCTCGACGTTAGAGGTGGGGCCCAGGGCCTGAGCTTACTCATAATGAGCCGATATGGCCGACCCCAGGGGTCGACGTCTATCGACTCGAGCAGCTCCTGCCAGGCCGCCTCCTTCGCCTCCGCGATGGCCACCCTGAGCGCCTTCTTAGCGTCTTGGTAGACGGTGTAGAGGCGCCTCTCCTCGTCCTCCATGTGCCCGCCTCGTCTGCGTCGACGACGATACCTGGAGTATCGCCGCCTCGCCGACACGCAGGACACACGAAGACGGCCAAGATCTTCCGACCACCAATACACCGCCGTCCGAGTCGGAGGCCGCACCACGCGGGGCATCGCTACGTCACAAATGTGCGTGACCGCTTCGTGGAGCCACCGCGACTCGGACTCTACCGCCGTCACGTCCGGTGCTGGATTCCAGCTGGCGACCAGAGACGCCTCGATCGCCGCCTCTCTATCCAGCTTTTTCAGGGCCCACCTCGGGCCGGCTTCCGACACGACACGCCCGGGACCGGAACCGCCCGAGAGGGGGGAGACGTCAAACCGGATATACCGGTGATCTGACAACGTCTCCACTCCCTCCAGGACTTCCCAATCCCGGACGCCTCGTGCCAGGTCCGCACTGGCGAAGGACACGTCCACAATTGAGCCACCCTGCATCCGCACGCATGTGTTCGTGTCCCCCACGTTCAAGACGACCAGCCCGTTCGAGGCGAGCCATTCCTCCACCAATTCTCCCCTCGCATCCGTGGCACGGCACCCCCATACCGTGGACTTGGCGTTCAGATCGCCAGCCACGACGATCTGGTATGGGCGGCACCAGGCCAGGA